ACAGATCCAACCATGAAGGCGGTATTCAACAATAATAAATAGATCTAGCCATAGAGGCAGAATTTAATAAATAGATCCAACCATAGAGGTGAAATTAACAATAATAAGTAGATCCGACCATAGAAGCGGAATTTAACAATAATAAATAAATCTGATCATATAGGTGAAATTTAACAACAATGAATAAATCCGACCATTGAGACATAATTTAATAATAATGAGTAAATCCGACCATAGAGGCAGAATTTAATAATAATGAGTAAATCCAGCCATAAAGGCGGAAATAAAGATTAAAGAACACATATAGGATCGAAGTACTTACTTTCAATAGATGTGCAATGTTACACTTGTTAAGTTTTTCATGCTGATAACGTGTTGTACAATAATTAGGAAATATAAAACAATTAGAAGGACTAATGCATGACTAATGAAAGATAAGAGACTATTGAAATAGAAGAACAATAAAGGGGGCTGAAATTTATTATCTTTTTATTTTAGTACACTAGAATTACAAAGGAGGGAAGGGTTTATAGAGTAATTCTTGCCACCCCCAAACTAATCAAATCTTGCCATTTAGCCACTAGGTGCTGCAAATTGTGACCACCTTTTGCTATTGTCAATAGGTGGCAATAGTATGATGAAAAGTGTCAAATGGTAGATTTATATTTCTTTGCAACAATATATATATATATATATATATATAATATAATATATATATAATATGTAGAGAGAGAGAGAGAGAGAGAGAGTAACTTATGTTGTGGTAATTCGCTAAGGCTTTATATAATATATTATATATTATATATATATATATATAATATATATTTATATATATATATTATATATATATATATATCTATATATATAATAGAGTAGAGAGAGAGAGAGAGAGAGAGAGAGAGAGAGAGAGAGAGAGAGAGAGAGAGAGAGAGTAACTTATGTTGTGGTAATTCGCTAAGGCTTTATATATATATATATTATATTATATATATATTATATATATAGAGTAGAGAGAGAGAGAGAGAGAGAAGAGAGAGAGAGAGAGAGAGAGAGAGAGAGAGAGAGAGAGAGAGAGAGCAACTTATGTTGTGGTAACTCGTTAAGGCTTTACATTAATTTTTGTGCTAACTCTTCCTTTGTTTTTATGAACTTATTCATGTTTTAGTTTTTCCTCCCTCGTAAAACGTGTGATAAGCATTTGATTTTTCTTTTTTTTTTTTTTTTTTCACAAACTAATAATTTAGGAGGAAGGCGAGATATAAATTTGAATAAAAAAAATATTCATTTCTTCTCTTTTTGCTCAAAAAGTTTCAAAATACCACTTTCTCACTCAATGTTTATATCTGTTAATACCTAAAGTACATGCATTTACTCTCTCAGCCAACGTTTTGACAAGTTACCAAGAGTCAATGTAAGAGGGTTTCTGTAGAGTGGAGGCCGATAGATCGAATGGTGGGTGGCTAATTAAATATTCGCCGTCGAATCACTCGAAAATTAGTTAAAACAAGAAACCCTAACTTACACAATGGCAATTGAGAGAAATCAGATGCTAGAGGGAGAGGTATTAAGAAATTTTGCATAAAAAGTGCATTGAGGCAAACCTTGGTTGAGAAAAAGTCGCTTACTTTATTCACACTCGTACATATTCATTATTGTACATGAGTCAAAGATTTAATATCTTAATTTAATTTTATTATTTTTATCACCAGTGATCATATCGCGAAAAAATCTTAATCCATAACAATTAACATGAGCTTAAGAAAACCTTATTTATTTGACTTATCAGAAGTCTCCTGAAGAATATTAACAAAACCATGCCAAAAGTTTGAGCAAAATACTTTTATGTTACAAACTTGTGCATAAAAATTATATTACATACATTCCTACAGAACTTTAACGCCGGCATTCTCTAGGGCGCCCCTTGGGAAATCGCTTCAAATCTGCGCAATAGTTGTAAATCATATAGTACTTTTGCACCCATCTTAAAAATCTTCGGCCATTTGCATCAAGACCTTGAGTTTGCCAACCGTTGTTTGTGGGAATAGACTTATCTTTGAACCGCAATTAGTAGATGAACCAAGTGACGAAACGCAGGCATTGGCATTGAAATTCCTATCATAGGCTGTGAAAGGAGCATTAGACCAATTGGTTTTCACTAGACCGCCTCTGGTTGCCCATTGGTCTGCGTCCCACACACTCGAATAAACCCTCATCGGTTGCTTACTGGGAAAGGGAACTCCAATTGCTTCCTCATTGTTGTACTCTCTTATGGGGATATTATCAACTAAAAAACTGATCCGATCATCAAACAGAAATTTTATTAGAACATTGTATGTGTTCATGCACATAAAGATAATCTTTATCTAAAGTAAGAATGTTTGTTTTAAACATATACACGTATATCTTACATGATGCGTTGAGGATTCCATACAATAGAATAGGTGTGAAATTTTTTGGTTGGGTCGAACCATAGGTAAAACTGTTGCTCCCTGTTCCCCTTCCCTTGAGTGTACACATTAGTGTGGACAATATATGGTTCGCCACTTGAGTTTCCCAAGAACTCGAAGTCAATCTCGTCATGATATGGCCCTTCAGAAGATAGCTGCAACAAAAATTAAATTGATATATATTACCATGCAGTTTGGAAAAAAAAGAATATGATATATACATAGACAGAAAATGGAGATAATCTGTATATATACGTTATGATTTTCATTATGTATTGAATATGCATTAGTAGATTAAAAAAAAAATGGCCACAAGAACATACATAATAAGCAGTAACAGTGCCAGCAGAGTCTCCAGAAACTAGCTTAAGCTCGATGTCGATCCTTCCAAATAGATATTCTCTCTTGGACCGAAACCCGGAGCCGGAGGTTTTGTCAAGAGTAAGCGAGAGAGACTTTCCTCCGTCGAGAATTTTAGCACGATAATCACCCCAGGTTAAGTCAACATCTTGGTAAAAATTATCACCAGTTGCCATGAAAGAACCCACTGAGAAAAAAAGCAAAAAGATTATTTGAACTCTAGGAAAAGTGCTATAAGTTGTCATCTTTAGAGGAGAGAGTGCTTATGTGATATGGGTACGCAAAGTTACTGGAAATAATCTCACACGGAGGCACCTATATATATAATATATATACATATACAAACACAATCAGGATGGATAATGTAAGATGCGTGAAGTGAACACATACGAAAAAAAATAGCTGGAGATTGCAGATTTCTAGCTAATAAACTTCGTTTAGAAGTTCTATTACAGGTCGGTCGGCGTTGGATTAATAAATATTCGTATAGTTTTGCATCAAAAGTAATTGGCTAAAATCTTCTACACATATACCTTTAACACTACTGGGGCAAATTATATACACATATACCTTTAATACAACTGGGGCAAATTATATATGTATGCCGTGGTTGGTGGGTCTCCAAAGATATTGGTATTATCTACAGATCTGGGGTATATACGGTTTTGTGTTGAAAAGACATCTCTAAGTCTTTAAAGACATAATAGATGGTCTTTGTATTATATAAATGATTAAATTTTTCGTCAGACATAATAGATGGTCTTTGTATTATATAAAGGATTAAATTTTTCGTCTCTTAACCGATATGAGACTTTAACATCAGTACTTACGAACAATTATTATTAGTATGATATATAGTACATGAATTTTCAAGTGACAATGATTTTGTTACTATCAATTACATTTTGAATTTCATGTCATAATTAATGGAGAATGGTGCTTTAACGTAGTGTAGAAGATTTGAGTTCCAAGACTTTAGAGTTCAGATAGTCTTAGCATGTTGGCAAAGCTAAGAATAGATGAGCTGGATCTCAATTAGTTTCTGGGAAAGCGTAATTTGATTAATAAATTATCACATAATTGCAAGGTTTTTGCTGTGCTTTATTGGAAAATCCAACTTTTGCAGTGGAACTACGCCACTGCCAAATATTAATGTGAAATACGAGAATACACGTGAGTCTGTCTTTTTCCATATTAAGAAGATTGATTTTCATGTAAAAGTCAAGTCACAACAGTTAATACACTCTGCAAGTCTCCACGGCCGTAAACGAATCCAGTGAGAATGACAGTTGACTCTAAATCTTACAGGTTTCCACAGTTTCTTTATCCATTGATTCTCATAAAATCAAGGTACGCCTTGCCATTTAATTTCCGAGCAAAAAATTCCTTGAAATACTTCTCCAACGGGACGCGCCGGAAAATCACTGGACTATTTGGGCGAATCAGGCTTGGTGCCGGGCCCAACTCAGTGTCTAGCTTGGAACTATAGAATGTTGCTACAGACAGCCTCTCTTTCATTGAGTTTACTGTTGCTCGGTGCTCAATGCTTTTATAGATGCCATTGCTCACAATCTGTAAATGCAAATTAGAGATGTCATAAATAGCAATTTCGCCGTAGGTTTTTCATTATTACAAAAAATACATAATAGAAACTTAACCCCATTTGGATTTACCCGAATCTAACCCGATTAGAGCATAAATACTAGTAAACTAATTCTAAATCAATTAGACAATCGGTTTACCGTTGCCCTTTCACCCCCGAATGAGTTGCTGTAAGCAAATAATCCATCGAGACTAAAAGAAATATACACCATATTCAACAATAGGTTTACGGTCCTTTTCCTATCTGAATTCTTTTGAACTTTTAAGAATATCTATGTTATGAATTTCTTCCCAATTATATGCCATGAAGATTTTTCATTTTATAATATTTTTTGTAAGGAAGAATGTCATGAATCTTATCTTGTATTTGTCAGAGTAAAAGCTCAAATTCAGTTAGGATAGCATTCTGGTCATAATTTACAGCCAAGTGGCTTCATTATCCAATGCAAGAACAGAGTTTTTCCCGGTAGTATAAGAAGTTCAAAAGCAAATTTTACCTCCATGATGTCTCCGATGTTGACTACAAAAGCATTTGGAAGCGGTGTAACTGGAATCCATCTCCCATCTTTGTGAATTTGAAGGCCTTCAGTGTCATTGAGCTGATAGAGAATAGTGAGAGCGTCAGCATCAGAATGTGGTGTGAAACCAATGGCCTTCTCTGGTTCAGGACATGGAGGATAATAATTCATTCTCATTGATTGAACTCCATCATTCAACATATCTCTCATCTCTTCACAATCCATGTTTAATGCTTTAGCCATGTGATCTAATATTCCCATAGCTAGCTTCTTCACTTCCATGGAATAAGTTTCTAACACCTCTCTGCACCAAATTCATGAAGATGAACATAAAAATCACATCTTTCCGTTAACATAAACTTTCCTCAGCAGCACTACGTCGATCAGTACAGTTAATGGCATGTCTCCATCAAATCTTAATTCTCATAGTTAATAAACCACTAGACCCTTAACTATAAATCTATCGGACTGTTCCATGTGAAACATGAATCTAATTCTATGGATTACTGTAATTTTAGAATTAATCACTACATTTGTAAACCAGAACGACAAAAGTGTATGGTAAACGGTTTCAAATTAATTTTATAGAGACCAAGACTGGTTTAATTTGATTGAATGATATGGATGTGGCAGATTAAACCGATTGAGAGTTATAAATGATAGCTCTAATTAGCAGAGTTGAATTGGGCTGATGGAGATAGAGAGATTGAGACACCTGAGATTTGCAGGAAGCTTGTTAAAGAGTTGAGTGTTCCTCAGATTGAGTGGAAGGGTTGTGATATAGAACATATCTGACCAGTCTAGCTTTTGATCCTCTGAAACCACAAAGAGCTGCCCAAAACCTTCATGGTTGTCTGGCTCCAGCCACAACTGCTTCTTTTCTTCATATGGAAGATTGAAGAAATTTTCAATTTCCAACTTGAATTTCTCCAGCAATGAAATACTAACTCCATGGTTTATAACCTGAACTTCATATAAATTTTCATCAGTTTCTGATTAACTTAGTTGCTCTTTATCTTTGAGATGAATAATTAAGTTGACAGTACGAACCTGAAAGAATCCCCATTCTTTGCAAGCTAAGTGCAGCCTCTCCAATTCATAATCCACAGAAGCCAATTTCTGAAGATCAATGACAGGTACAGATGGAAGACAGGAGTCATGGGTGGCAATCGGAGGGTCCTCATGAGAACGAATATATCGAGGTGGGATGTCGACGATGGGTTGTTTTGCTAATTCCTGAACACTCGGTACTATTAAAGATTTACCAAAGTTGACTGCTGCTTCCTCCTGAAACTCTAACTCCATCACTAACAAACAATGAAGCAGCAACAGTAACCACAGGTTAGATTGGAGACAAAGACTCCGGTTTATCGCAAAAAGTTGGACTTCGATAATGTTGAAATTTATCCTTACTGGTCCAATGATGTTCGAGGCCTAAATTTTCTTTTATATATTGTTAATATATGATAAGAAGCATCTACCAACTCACACAATTGGGTTGGACCGTGGGTATTTTATGGGTTTGGATAAAACTCTTTTAAAAAAATTGGTTTGTCAAAAAAGGGGTGTCCAAACCCTTTATAAATTGGATTTGTCAAAAATATATATGATTTTAAGAGATATAAATGGGAAAGTTACTAAAATCATATCATGAAAATTAAATAATTATCCGAACTAATTAATAGAACAAAATAGTTAAGACATTTATTTAAACTTTTAAGTGAAAGTTGTAGGAGTTTACTGATTGAAAAGAAAATTATTTTTTTTTAAGAAAAATAAAATAAAATCAAAATATTACTTAATATTATAAAAATGACGACTTGAAAAAAGATGGACCTAACCAGTGCTGAGGTAGGTTGGGTGACTGTGACCAGTGACTCTATCATATAATATAGAGTTAAATATACAGACCTCCTCTGAGGTTTCAACATTTTTCAGGGAAAGAGAAAAAATTATTAGATTAACACAAACACCTCGTCCATTCAACTTTCTTTATGGTTTCTTTAGGGTTTTCTTACATCGCACCCCTTCAACATATAAAACTAACAAGTTACCCCCATAATTAGCCACTTACAACTTTACCATCAATTTTTGGTGTTAAAATTAAGAGTAAACTACTTTTTCCCACCCTAGGTTTGCCTTAATGACACTTTCCCACCCAAAAAGTTTCAAAATACAGTTTTCCCACCTTAATTTTATATTCTATTAATACCCAAAATACACTTCACTTTCTCAACCGATGTTCAGCTAGTTAACAAGAGTTAGGATAAGAGAGGTTTTATAGAGTAGAGATCGGTTGATCGAATGATGGTGACAAATTGAATATTCATCGCCGGAATCAATCAGAAATCAACTAAGAATAGGAAACACTAACTTTGCAATAGCCAAAAATTGATGAGAAATCAGGTGTCTTGGTAGAGAGGAAACTGAAGATTCAAATGATGGTGATAGAGAGAATTTTTGTTGCCAGAATCGGCGTTAGATATTAAACTTTAAGTGGAAAAGTGGTATTTTGAAACTTTTTGGATGAAAAATTGTCATTAAGGCAAACCTTAGGTGGGAAAAAGTTGTTTACACTTAAAATTAAATAAGGGAAGGGAAAAAAAAGACCTTATATTATAAATTAAGAAGAATTATAAATAAAATATTTTTAAATAATAAAAAGAATCATTAGGGTGCGTTTGGTGCGCTGCACTGGACTGAACTAATTTTTTCGTACTGAATTAGATTAAATATAATATTGTCACATATTTGTTTGTTTCAACATTGTACTTAACTAAATAATAAATATTATTATTCAAAAAATAAAAAATTTGAAATATTTTGAAAAATTAAATAAAATTTTGAAAATAAAAAAAGTTTTAAACTGACACTGGGGTCGCCAGCCAACGCTGTTGGAATCTAGGCTCAGTCTTCGATGACGCATCTGATGACATCAATATCGTGTCAGACAATCTATCCAATGGCGCAAACATGAAACGACACGAGACCTAAAATAAATTACTTGTAGAACGTTGGTCACATTTTGCAAGTGATCAAATACATGGCTAATATTTTTTAAGGACATACACACAAGAAAAAAGTTAGCGGTGGTTGATGTGTTGATTTATTCTGATTTAATAATTTAATTAACTAGTCTAAAGTAAAATTGAAGTTAATTTATCCTCATATGCATCCCGTGTTAATAGTTAAAAAAAAAATTCATAATATTAACTTACATATAAATTAAAGAGTAAACAATCTTTTTTCACTCAAAAAATTTTAAAATACCACATTTTCATCTAAAGTTTATAATTTGTTAATACCTAAAATACACTTTCTTTTCTCAACCAGCTTTCGGCGAGTTATCATGAGTCAGGGTAAGAGGGGTTTTATAAAGCGAAGGTTGGTAGATCGAATGATGGTGATTGATTAAATATTCGTCATCAGAAATCAGCTAAAATAAACAGAAAACCCTAACTTTACAGTGGCCAATAATCAATGAGAAATCATGTGTCAGAGTGAAAATGGTTTTGTAAAGAAGAGACTGGAGGTTCAAATGGTGGTAATAGTGCTGTCGGAGTTGGCTTTGGGTATTGACAAATATAAAGTTTGGGTGAAAAAGTGATATTTTGAAACTTTTTGGGTGGGAAAGTGTCATTAAGGCAACCCTTGGGAGGATTTGATCACTTGTGCAACCCTAAATAAATTAAGATGTAATTAGAAGTTAATATATAACCCACATGCACCATATCCTCGGTTGTTAAGAGGATTTCTCTCTTGTGCAAAATGTGTCAGTATTTAATTCTATATTGATAGAACACATGCCCTGAGTGTTAATGCATCCACATGCTTTTGTTTATAATTCATTTCTCGTAGCTTCCAGGAAGTTACCCAGTTCTTAATTAAATAATTCATGAAATTTCAAAAAGTTTAATTAATTTCCTTCTTTTTCTGTGTATATAAATACCCTTAATGCCATTTCGAGGTAGGTATATACTATTGTTTTTACTTGAAGCGATGATCAATATGGCATCATCTCAACCACCACTTGAGAACTCTGAATTCTCCATAGTTAGTGTGCAGGAACTCATCAAAGACCCTAATATCACTGTGCCAAATAGCTACTTTCGTCCAGATTAAGAGCCTCCAAAACTCTTAAACGGAAACCATTACTTCCCTGCAATCCCCACTATTGACTTGGAACGTTTGGTTTCCAAGGAACAGGCGGAGTTTGAACTAGCGAAGTTGGAATCGACGTGCAAAGAATGGGGTATCCTTCAGGTTAGTAATCGTTAGTGGAACTATGAAGGTTCGTCTAGTTGATTAATTGTAATTTCATGAACCCAAGTTTTGTGTTACTATGATGTAGTTGGTGAACCATGGAGTTAGCTCTTCACTGCTGGAGAAGCTGAAATTTGAGATCCAAGAATTTTTTAATCTTCCTCTAGAAGAGAAAATGAAATACAAAATAAAGCCTGACGACTTTGAAGGTTATGGAAGCGTCGTCCGATCCGATGGAAAACTTGATTGGGGGGATAAGTTGTACATGACAACTAACCCTATTCACATGAGAGAATCGCACCTTTTCCCAGAGCTCCCTTCACCCTTAAGGTCATCCATCTTTCTCTTGGATCTCAGAGAAATAACATCTTTAATTTCTTTTTGGTAAAATTTTAATGGTTTTATTATCTGGCATTTATTATTTATTTAATAGTGCATGCACATGCAGGAATACTTTAGAGTGTTACTTCCAGGAAATGTAAAATCTTTCCAGAAAAATTTTTGGAATGATAGGAAAGACTCTGAACACGGAGATTAAAGAAATGGAAGAATTGTTTGAAGATGGGATCCAATCAGTGCGGTTAATTATTATCCTCCATGTTCAAAACCAGAGCTGGTTATGGGTCTTGCACCTCACTCTGATGCTACTGTTATCACTATTTTGAATCAACTTAATGGAGTTGATGGTCTTCACATTAAAAAGGATAGCGTTTGGATTCCCGTCAGCATCCTTCCTGGAGCTCTTGCAATAAACTTTGGGAGATATTCTAGAGGTTTGTCAAACCTTTCTCTCTCGTTCTCTTAAAAGTAAAAATTAAAGAAATAGAAAAGGAAGAAGAGAAAATTAATAATTAAATATGTATATCATGTAGTATTCTGTTCAGTATAAATGATATTGACATACAGTGGCGGATCCAAGATTTTTGTAGAGGGGCCTCCGCAGTTCCGCCATTATTTGCCAAATTACTAGTGAAAACATTAAAAAATTATTAAACCTTAATTAAAAAAATAATACAATATTAAGAACCTGAGAAAAAAAAATATATAATAACACAATATTTTCTTATTTGAATAAATCTATGAGAAGGAAAATTTTGAGTAAAAGTGTTGAGTAAACCTTAAACAAAACATTCTTTTAATATTTTTATTTTTGGCTTTCAAATATTACAATATAAATTTTCATAGTGTTGATCAAACCTAGCCTAATTAAGCTAAAGTCAACCAAAATTTAAATCAAGTCAACGTTACATTGACTTTTAATATGAATTAATAAAAGAGGGGAATTTTTTTTTAGTATAAACATAGATAGTAACTCAAATTTCTTTAATAATTTTGAATAACTGAACGGTGACGTTTAAAATATAGAAAAGTGGTGGGTGAAGGGTGAAGAATAACGTTCTTTAAAATATAGTTAAGGTTTTAATTTGAGAAAACAGATTCATTCTTAGACAGAAAATACAAAATAAACTCATAAGATAAATACTTTTTTCTTTCAAATTAGAATAAAAAACCTCAAAAAGAAAAAATTGATTCAATCTTTAAATAAACTAAATTGAAATGAACAATACACATACCTAAAATTGATAAAACAGAAAACCGGGCTAATTATGACACCTTGAGTAGTGAAAATTTAACAATTTCAGTCTTAAAAAATTTTAAGAGCGAATAACATGAGAAAGAGAAAGAGAGAGTGAAGAATTTGGGGATAAAATCATAAAAAACAGGTAAAACTGTGTAAAAAAATACTAAAGAGAGTTTTAAACTTTTAATATGATGTGGGCTTAGAATATATATAATAAGTTTTTTTGTAGACCTAGATATACAGTATATATAATAGTTCTTATTTTTTAAAAATCTGAAGGTGGGTCTGGATATATATGTTAATTAACAATTTTTTATGGCTTGTATATTAATAAATTTTTTTTTAAATCTAAGGGCCTACCCTCAAAGGGGCTGAATCCGCCCCTGCTGACATATAAATAATAGTTTCAAGATCAGGATTCTTTCTCTACTTAATTTTTACTTGCATAGTTTCAAGAATCTAATTTCAAGTTAATAAAAAGAAAAAGAATCGCACGAGAGATATCCACCATATTTGTGTATTTATCTGAGTCCGTTGGGTTTGTAGAGTATTCTATGGTCTTGAAAATTAGGCAGACTCCAATATAAGTTTGAATACTTCGGATACCTAAAAAGAAAAAAGAAAAAGAATTGAGAGTTCCGGGTTTACATTTGCGTAAACTAATATGTTTATGTTGTAGTAAATAACTTGTACATTTTAATTTTATTAATGTGGTGAATAAATCTACTCAGATAATGAGCAACGCACTTTATCAGACCGTCGAGCACAAAGCATCAATAAACTCGGTGAAAGAGAGGATATCAATTGCTTTTTTAGTCGGCCCCAAGTTTGATGCAGAGATTGGACCTGCAAGAAGCCTGATAAATCCTGAAAACCCACGGACGGAAGAGTACTTTAAAAGTTTCTTCTCCCGTAAGCTCAAAGGAAAGACAAACTTGGAGTACATGAAGATTGAAAATGGTGAAAGCATGCACCACAATATTTGAATAAATGGTCCTAATATTACTGTTTGGAAGCTTTGTAGTATTATCTCACTGACATGCTACTACGTGTAGTAGAATATTTAATCTATGTAAAAATAATGCGATTTCATGGTTTCGGTTCTGGTCGTTCTTGATAATATTCTATTTGGGCTTTTGCTTTATTTAGCCCAGCCCATTTAAAATGATAACATTTGTAGCCCATGTCGATCCTTGGATTCCATACTTCCTTTAACAATCTTTTCTTTATAAACAAGTGTGAGTGGAATTGGATCATCATTTATAAAAGGATTATTATTCGACACCCCTCCTAAGGTTTTAGTGTTAATCACTCACATCCCAAAGGTATAAAAAATTAGCCTTGAGCTCCTATCACTGTGGATATTAATCGTTCTTGTAACTGGGTAAAAAATACACCAATTAACATAAATCCCTAAACTAACAACTAAAGGGGGAGGTATTGGATAATTGTTCAAATGTGCGGGGAGCTTAAGGTAATTTTTCACACTTTTGGGGGTGTGAGTTACTTAAACTGAAACCTCACGACAGGTGAGGGATAATAGTCCTTAAAAAAAAAAAAAAAAAAAAAATTATATCAAAGAATTAAAGATGACATACCTCGAGTTTCTATAAACAGAAAATGGAGAGAGCCTTCCCTTTTATCTCCCACTCTCCTATCATACCAAGACAAATATTATCGTGTTCTTATCTAATAGGAGAGATACTTGAAAGAAAAAGCACAAGAGATATCATACATTTCTCTTAGTCCACAATCTTTAAATATTACTTCCGACGCCACGTATGTAGAATATCATGGCTGATACACACACACACACACACACACACACATTTCTCTTAGTCCATAATCTTTAAATATTGCTTTTGACCCCACGTATGTAGAATATCATGGCTGATATATATAAGAGCTGATTAATAATTTGATAGACCACCCATTACTATGATGTATCTAAAGAAGAGGAGAAAGGGCATTAGTGGGAAGAAGAGCAGTGAGAATTAGTTAGAGGAATAATCCACGTGTCCTAGAATTAGAGAATATTAGTGGGGAATCAAGTGTGCATAAAAAGGGAACCAATATTGTGAAAGGAGTTAAGTTGTTTTCTAAAGGGAATATTGTTGGGAGGCCACTAGCTCCTCGAAATGCTAGTAACTATGTTTTCTTTTCTTACTTATTACTATTTCCTTTGAATGTCTGCATTTGTTACTCTTTTATCAATATAATACATCTCATTATTCTACATATCATTTCCCAGTTGCTGTGTTTTCTTGATTGTGAGTGTTTGGTTCTTTTTAATTATTGATTATATTGGAGTTCTTATCAAATTGGCATCAAAGCCAAGTTAGGTATGGTTAAAACAAAAATAGAGAATATAATTGATGGTCTGGAAAAGGAGATGGGATTTGTGAAGGAGGATTTGGGAACCGTTAATTAAGGAGTATCCATTCTGGAACTTCGGGAATGGATGAGGTTAAGGGACGAGAAGAAGGAAAGCTAGAGCCATGAAAAGGGCAAGGTAGCTATGATGGAAAATTCAAACAGTGAAGAGAGTGGAGTTCATGATCGATCAAATGGAGGAAAAATTGGTAGAGAAGAGAAAAGGAATAAGAAATTATAATTATTTGTGTTCAATGGGGACGATCCATATGGGTGGACCTTTAAGGCTGACCGGTATTTCGTTATCAATCGATATGAAGAGGAAGAAAAAGTGGAGGTCGTCGCTGTCTATGTAGAGGGTCACGCATTAAATTAGTACTAGTGGGTTGACTCTCAAGTGTCGATATTGACTTGGGAAACCTTTAAGACAACCTTGATCGACAGATTCCAGCCATCTTTCAAGGGTACAACTTATCAGGCATTGGTAGCCTTAAAGCAAACTAGCACTGTAACAGAACTCCAGGAACAATTCGAAGCACACGCCGCTCCTTTGCGAGAGGTAGGAAAAGACTTACTGATGGGATCTTCTCTAATGGGCTTAAGGAGGAAATCAAAGCAAATATGCGTTTATCTAAGCCTAAGACGTTATTTGAGTTAAGAAGCAGGCCTATAGAGTAGTGGGTTATGGAAAAGGCTGAGACCAAAATCAATAGAGTCCGGGGTGGGCGAATGGATTCTTACTCTCGACTTAGCCCAAGCCTAGAGACTTTGCACCCAAGTTGGTGGTCTAACCCAACTTGCAACCCAAAACCAAGTCTTACATCTCTCAATCGATAGTTCGATTGTAAAGGAAATCAGTTGACACCACGACGTCAAGCTTCCGAGGAGAGAATTTTCGGCGGCTAACTGAGGCAGAAATATAGTTTAAGAGAGAGTGGGGGTTGTGCTTCAAATGTGATAAGAAATATGGGCCTAATCAGCGGTGTAAAAGCAAATCGCTGAAAATTTTTCTAGCATTGGACATGAAGAATCGGAAAAGGGAGAACCAACATCAGACCCTGACGAAGAACCCATCATAGAAGGTAATCCCTTAGCTTTATCTATGAAGTTTATTGTGGAAATTACATTGGATAAAACTCTAAAAATCAGAGGCCGAATTAGGGAAAAAGATGTTATTGTGTTGGTGGATAGTGGGCATCCCACGACTTCATTTCGCACGAATTGGTGCGCAAGTTGGGAATAAGTATAGACAAAGGGAAGACATTTGGTGTAATAGTGGGTAATGGAGTTACAGTAAGAGGGGAAGGAATTTGTAGAGAGATACAATTGGAGATTCAAGGGGTTAGGGTTAAACAAGAATTTTTTCCATTTGATTTCGGTGGAGTTAATGTAGTATTGGGAATTGCCTGGTTGAGTTCACTTGGAGTTGTGTGTTCTAACTGGAAAAATCTAACCATAGAGTTTGAGGTGGAAGTAAAACGAGTGGTATCTACCTCAAACTCTATGGTATTGCAAGAGATCCGTCACTGGTGAAGACTATAGTGTCCCTTAAGGCCATGCTTAGGACTGTACAAATTGCAGAGGTTGGATATTTAGTGGAAATTTTCTCCATAGAGTATAAACCAGAGCAAAAAGGAGAACCAATGGAACCTAGGGTAGCACTAGTGTTGGAGGAATTTAGCCAATTGTTTGATTAGGTCACTAGGCTACCTCTCTATAGGCAACATGATCATGCCATAGTGCTCTGAAAGGGAGCTCAACCCCCAAACATCGGGTCATATAGATACCCATATTTCCAGAAGAATGAGATTGAGAGGTTGGTGGGAGAAGTGTTAGTGGCTGGTATCATACCATCTAGCACCAATCATATTGCAAGCCTAGTTTTATTAATTAAAAAGAAAGATGAAAGTTGGAGGTTTTGCATTGACTATGAGGCCCTCAATAGTATCACCATACCGGATAAATTCCCCATACCAACCATTGATGAGTTAGCAGGGGCAACCACCTTCTCAAAGCTAGATTTAAAGTCTGGTGACGCTATTACCATATTACCCTTACTTTTGATTACACCACCACCCAATCACCAACACCATCCAACCAGCACCAGCACCACCACCAGCACCACCACCACCACCCACCACCACCTTTCAACACCATTATGACCAAAACCCCCAAAGTCACACCTACCACCCACCACATTTCCACCCATCCACTACCATTGCAATCCCTTTAAACCCGAAAGCCTTGCCGCCACCAAATAACCACCACCAAATCACTCACATTCAACCGCAAACCCACCCAAAAACCATCAACAAATCACTAACAAATCCAGCTGCAAACCTACCCAAAAACCACCACAAACTCAACTACAAATCCATACAACTAAACTCAACTACAAATCCATCCAAAAACAACCACAAATTGAGCCACAAACCTTCCCAAAAACCACCACAAACATAAATATATTTTTGTTAATTTACGGGTAGGGATTTGGAATTTATAAAGCTAGGAGTGCGAACTTGCCATTTAGCTAAACCTTGGGTGAGAACATGTCGTTTACTCTTTGTTCAAATTAAATGACATTATATATATATATATGGGTATTACTTGTACCATGGTTTTAAAACCCAGACTGGCCCGACTAGTTGAACCAGTTGGACCGGGACCCGAGGCCTTCTCCGGGTTGGTTACCCTTTAAACTGCTTCAAGTTTAAAATCTATCAAACACACCCTTGATTAATACACATCAGTTCCTAAATGTTTGAAATCCAACAAACACACCTTCTAGCCAAATGCAAATCAGCAATGACCTCCCCTTTTTTGGCGACCTTCCACCTTCCCTTGCTGTCGAAAACCACCTTCTAACTTTCTCTAGGGCCCTGGCCCTTCATTTCTCGCTACCGTGCAATGTCTCGTCGTCCAACAATTTTTCTTCCATTTTTTGGCATTGTTCGCACCTTCTCCAACATTGATAAGCCTCCTCAGCCATCGATCTACCTTCTCCCAAGCTCCCTTGCCGTCATTCACGAAGATCCATAGTCATCTCGCTAAAAAAAACCACCTCGACTGTTTGACTTCCACCACCAATATGCCACTATTCGGCGATGCCTCAACTTGCCAGTTGTCGATTCATCCTCCCCATCACCCAATCTACCCTCCCTGGTGTGTCGTCGCCACTCTCTCAGTCGATTACTGATTTGATTTGGCTAGGGATTATGTTTGCTAGATTTTAAACCTATAGAGTCTGATGGTATTTATTAAAGGGTGTGTTTGCTAGATTTTAAACTTGTCAAAACATTGGTTAAACTGCCAGTTAAACCAGTTAAACCAGTTAACTCGTGACCTGGTTGCCTGAACGGGTCACCCCTTAGGTTGGGTTTTAAAACCTTGACTTATACAATTACTTATCGAAACAAATTTAGAACATCATCCTTTGTCTTTACAGACAAATACATGCTCTTCATTAGCTTTTCCAAATGGAAGGACCACCCCACCGATAAGGGGAACTCCATCGGTATGTCTGTATTGTCACTCCAAAAAATTTCCCTACGTAAGACATCAATGCGCTCTAGTGCCCAAATCTAAAAAAACAAAAAAGAAGAAAAAGGATATGGTTAAATTTGAAACATGTAATAGCATTTATTCCTATAATATTGTTAATAGAAAAACAAAATTTCTTACCATCAAAGCATATGAACAACCTGAAAGGTATTTGGCTCCCCCTTAGCTCACATATCTAGCTAAACTCTTGTGAAGAATAACCAAGAGCATCTCACCCCATGAGTATTCACCCAAGCCGTGAATATCATCGAACAAAGATGTGTAGCAAGGGTTGACATAACAACTAGAGCTATCGACGGCTATAATGTTGCCTAGAATATACAAAACTGCTACTCTAACCCTATCAACCAAACCACCATCCCTTCTGGTTGCCATATCTCTTAAAATTTTCAACTGGATTCCCTTGTCCTTAACGAAAAAATTATGAGGAGCTCCTGGAAAATATTTATTTACAAATGTTTCACCATCACTTTTCAAACCTAAAATAGGCTTGCCCTTTATAGGCAACCCTGTGATGTAAAGGACATCTTCTAAACCTAAGTGAAGGGAAACATTATCATTTAGCCTAAAACAAGACGTCTCTATCTCATAAGAGGTAGCCAATGCGTCGATTACTGGTGCACAATGCTTTGGAATATGTTGTAATTTTAGCAAGTTATCCAATCCCTCCCTTTCAAGCTCTTGTTTCATCGTACTTTCAACCTCAAAATCATGAAAGTTATA